TGGGCACTGCCAGTTAATTAATACAACATTAATATAAGTAACACTGGGAGAGGCAGTGCTAAGGCGTCTGCGCAAAAAGTAAAATTTCTCAAAATGATTGCTGCCGACTCGCGAAATTGCACAAAAAAGCCAGTTTTAGAAAAAAGACGTATGAAGAGCACAAACTTTTTTGAATGTCCTTCGAAAATATTCTGCAATAATGCCTTCGGAATCCCTCCGAACTAGTAGTCTACAGGTATAACGTAATTTGACATTTTGAAAATAAAACCGCACCTCACGTAGTTCACGGATCTGCTCGCTTAACCCTCCCACTTCCGAATAAGATATATTGCCGGGATCTTCATGGCTCATTTTATAAACTAATGGATCGACTTCTCGTGGCAACTGTCGCATTATTGTTAGTGTTGTCATATCCAATGCAACACGTGTGCCCTAAAAAACTCGCAAACATGTGGAAAACAACACAAATTAGCAAAATTAAATGAAAAAATTGCCCCTCCACGGACTGGTTTCTAAGCTGCTTTAAAAAATTTTACATTTAGGCTACAGAACAAAACTGAGTACAATCTATGCCGAAATTTCACAGATCACGTCCAACTTTCGGTTAATTCATCACCCACACTCCGATGTTCGTAGCGATTCTTACACCGTGAACCTTCTGCGGGTACGGGAGAGGAGCTAAGAGTTTAACTGAATGAAAGACAAAATAAGCGACAGAAAAGACGCAATGGGCCTCTTTCCAGCTCGGCGAGAAAACGGAACCGATGGCCATCGTAATCAGGCGGCTGAGAAATCAGTGATCAGAGCAGTGGTAACGAGCGCGTGCAGTGGATGAAAGGCCAAGGCACCTGTTTCAGGGCTTCCTTGTTGATCGATCGACGGCATCCGACCACATAGCGCGGCCCATTTGTGGCCTTCACAATGAACTTCTCCTCAGTGAGCTGCTTGAGCACCTCACCAACAATCTGGCCAACCGACTGCAACGACTTGATGTCATTCTCGGACTTGTCGTGCTCTTTTTGCATCTCCTGCTCCTGAAACAAAATAAATAAAAATGCGATTCCCACCAATACACTAAAAAACTCCTGAAAGCCACCCCGCCCCGTCGCAGGAGGAAGCCTCGTTATGAGCAATAACTTGTCAAACCGAGATTGATCACATGTGAAAATAGAAGAAAAGCAGAAGTAGTGGTAGAGAAATAAAGAATCAATGAGAAGAAAGCAGTGCAAATCCCAAAAGTCTAAAAAGCTGACGGAGCAGGAAGCCCTGGCTGGTGTCAAGAGCCATGCTAGCAACGGTTCTCGTTTGCTACGCGAGCTTCAATTCATGGCGGCGGCGGCGGCGGGACACTCCCCAGCAGCAGCTACTGTTGCAGTGAAATGCTTAATCTTCGCTCACTTCACTACGCCCGCTCCAAACATTCTTCTTTTTTAAAGGAAATTTCTGCGCAATAAACCAGCGCTCGAGCTCAGAGAATTCTGATGCTAAACTGCTTCGCAACACACCGCATTCGCTGCACGCAGTCGCCAGTGCCGCAAAAATCTGAACAAATGGCCCACTGCAAACTAACTGCAAATGAAGTTGCACTGTATGTTTTGCAAAAAAAAGAAAGACAAGCAATTCTCATCATCCGTCAGGCGTGGCACAGTGAAGCAGCGCTCCCTCCTCTCCGCAGCTCGTTCGCGTTTAATTCGATGGTACTGCAGCAATGAGCCAGCGATTCGAGCCCGCCTGCTTTCAAGTAATCTGCAAAAAGGAGGAGGAGGAGAGCCCCGACAATCGATCACTTCGAGCAGTCATCGCCGTCGGTTTCGGTGAAGCCCCCGCAATTCTGTGGGCTGCGGCCTAGCCAACCGGGCGGCTAAGCCAATTTGGGCGCAGTTCACTGTGAGCGAGTAGTACGAAGGCAGTTGTTTTGCCCTGCAAAAAATCTTTTAAAATAATAATGGGCTGACTTTTTTGCGCAGCTGCTTGAGGCGCTCCTCCACCTCACGGTACTCGACCAGCTTACGCCGATAGGCCGCCAGCGCACGCGTTTTCGCATCCTCGGCCGGTGCTGCAGCAGCAGTTGACGAGGCTCCCGCCGTTTGCTCGACCATTCTCTCTCCCTCTCTCTCTCTTTCTGCTTCACCTGAAACAAGCCAGAGCTTTCATCCACTTCCCAGCAAACCGCCACCACCACCACTTCCTTGACGCCACGCCATACATCTGCCCCGATGTTGTTGGATAGTAGTGGCAACTATACTACTAAAACTTGGCTCGGCCGTCTTGGGGGTTGAGTTGCCACAATTAGGAGGAGTAAGGGGGGGCGAGGCAGTGAGGGTCATGGCAGCGAAGGTGGCGGGCGGGGTCATTGAGGAGTGAGATTTCCTGGCGATCCGCTTACTGGTACTGCCCGAACGCCTTGGTGCGCTGTTGTTTTGCTTTGCACTTTGATCAGTTGTTGCTGCTTCTTGGCCAGCACACTTCTCCCAGTCGCGTTGCTGCGCGTGTATGTTGCAGAGAGTAAGGGCTGGCGCAGATGGCTGCTGATGTGCAGGCCGAATTGAACATCGATCTGGTGAAGACGAGAACCGTTGAGCGGCTGATTGAGCCTCTGATACACCAGGTACATTCACTCAAAACGGCCAGCCTGAGCAGCAGCAGCAGCAGCATTGGATGCTTTTGCAGGTGACCAGTCTGACGGATGCGAATTCGATGAGGCGAAGCGGCGGCGGCGGCAAAAGCGGTGCTGTTCTGGTGGCAGCCGTCGATCGTACCGTGCGTAATTTCGTGCACACTGCTCGTGCCGCTATTGCCCACTGCTCGATTACTGCAGCTGCAGCTGCGGATGCTGTGCAGCAGTTGGCGCAGGCCGTTGAGCTGGTGGAGCAGTTCGGTATGTCTCAGAATTAATCCCATCGCTCCTTGCGCATTCGCCTCCTCGTCCGTACCGCTCAAACAACGCTTCTTTTCGGGCCTCCTGGCAGCATTTCGCATTTCACTTGACACTTCGCATCTTCCCATAAGCGAGCATTCAGCTCACATTCTGTGCTCCACATCTACGCGCATGCCCCATTTTTGTTATCGCACAACTTAACCTGCTGTGCGAGCGACGAAGGTGACACAGAGAAAATAAATGGCCAACGCACGGGCTGCCCGTGCGAAGATGCGTTTTTTGCAGAGTTCCCCGCAG